AAACGGTTTTAGTCAGCAACACACATAACGACTCTCAACACTACGGAGATCCTTGACAAGTCGCCAGAGACGTTGTCCGCAATCAGTACATGCCCGCCAAAAATCCGTCAAGGTTCGAACAACACGTTCCCAGGATGTCGCTGCGCCTGTTTCTCAACTAAACAGACATGAGACATATGCTCTGTTACCACGAAATAACGCCAATCTCTCCTGAGGGCAACTGTGAAGGAAAACGTGTACAGCCCTTGAGGTTGCGTACGACTCATGCTAATATTTCACAACTATAAAGTAGGATAGAAGAAATCTAGTCAGACTGCATTGAGCTGCAACAACTTTTATATTTGCTTTAGCTGCACAACCTACACTTCCCTGTATGGCTAGGAAAGAAGTCAATGGCTCAGTCGACTGACCACTGCTTTTTAGTATGACTATGCCTAAATCCTTTCTGGACTCAGTTTATTTTCAAGAAACAAATATCTCGATAAGTGTTTCAGTGTGCGTAACAGATGTACCTCAATATTATTACTTATTTTGCTGCTCTACTTAACAGGAGAAATTGAAGAAAAGAACCCGTAGTTAGAAGAATGTAGTCGTTCCAAGTGTTCTGATTTCAGCGGTCACCTACCCTCACACACCAACGAGCGTTGCTGAGTGAATTTTCGCACTCTTTTGTCTAATTGACCGAAAGGTTTGCAGATAAACCTTTGACATGAGTTATTCTACCTGAAGTTAGACTTTTCATACGTTTTTGATACTCTACGTCACTGAGGAAGACCAACTATAGCTTGGATACGTATTATGCTGCTAACGTCGTTGCGAGGCCGAATGAGATATTGCGGACGATGTAGCTGCTACACCCATAAAATCCCCTCAAGAGGAAGAAGCGTAGAAACGGCCACCGATATACTATGTAAGTGTCTGTGCAAACGCAGCAATATTGAATGCCACTCAAGAGAATGAGGCTCGCTCACTGCGAGGGATTTATCGTTGACAGAGTCCCTTGTTGCTAACGCTTCCCACGGACGAATTAATCTTTATTATCGAGCAAAGATAGGAGTCGGTGAAAGTCTGAAGCCTGTTTGGAACGTCAAGCACCAGGTTTCTAAACCATGGAGAATCACTGACTTCACATTAGTACAGAGAATTCGGAACTTGACGCTTATGATGGGTGTAGCAGATTTCCGTATCGTGTCCCAATAGGTCATATATTCATCTTAGGTAGTCGGCACATTTTTCCAATGCTCATTGTTGTCAATAAGACCTTTCATCAATTCGTGATTAATTAGCCTTTACCTTTCATCGTGCTTTCAACCCGTCGAACTAAAGCTCAGGACCAAACTCCAGTTCAGTACCAAGTTCTAAGCTACACTTGTGTACATTAGTGGTTCAACGGTAGGATACTCGCGAAGTCCGGGTTCGATCCCTGGGGCTGGGGCACTCCTAAATCCCGCTTAGCCGGTATAAGGCCAGGAGACCAGAGGAGATTGTCTAAAGCTACTGAACCCACGTCGAAAATTACCACCACCGCCACTCCAACTTCAAAGCTTGAATCTCTATGTGGCGCAGGGTCTAAGATACGAGTGCTTGAAATGAAGAGTCACAACTCCACAAGACGAAACATCTATTTAGTTGTCCAAATTTGTCATTCATTATAATTCATTGAGTACTTTTTGGTGAACTGAGTAATGATGTCATTGCTCTTATTCTGTTGGGCTGTTTTGTTCGTGAGACTTATGCATAACTGGGAGATGACAGCATTCTACTAACTAGGTAACTGTCATACGTGAAATTCAGTGTATTTGAATAATAGCTATATTACTCACTGTGGTGGTTGAGCCAAGTAATATGCGACTCTGAAGAACATCGTAGTAAATTCGACAAGCCCTTCAATAATCATATCGTCTCTTATCTTTATATGGCAAATCGCACAACCATAGGGTCTATAGTGATTGCATAAATGATCCGCTGACTCAACGTTCCTTTCGCTAAATATAACAGCGACGAGAGGAATATTGGATTCTTCTAAGTTGTACAAATTTCTCGGACTAGTTTAGCTCAATCTACACGCCAGGGTGGTCCTGAAATCAGTACAGTTCGCCAAACCTCTCGCTACACATCTCGTAGTCGTACCTCGAAAGTTCATCACCTTATTTATTCACACAATAGCTACCGACACACAATAGATGAAATCTTCATCACCCTACTGGGATTGGGGTGCTTGGCGGCACTTCGACAAATCTTGTCCAGATAAGCAACACCAATGCCAAGATTGCAAAACTGTTGGACACTAAAACGGTTTTAGTCAGCAACACACATAACGACTCTCAACACTACGGAGATCCTTGACAAGTCGCCAGAGACGTTGTCCGCAATCAGTACATGCCCGCCAAAAATCCGTCAAGGTTCGAACAACACGTTCCCAGGATGTCGCTGCGCCTGTTTCTCAACTAAACAGACATGAGACATATGCTCTGTTACCACGAAATAACGCCAATCTCTCCTGAGGGCAACTGTGAAGGAAAACGTGTACAGCCCTTGAGGTTGCGTACGACTCATGCTAATATTTCACAACTATAAAGTAGGATAGAAGAAATCTAGTCAGACTGCATTGAGCTGCAACAACTTTTATATTTGCTTTAGCTGCACAACCTACACTTCCCTGTATGGCTAGGAAAGAAGTCAATGGCTCAGTCGACTGACCACTGCTTTTTAGTATGACTATGCCTAAATCCTTTCTGGACTCAGTTTATTTTCAAGAAACAAATATCTCGATAAGTGTTTCAGTGTGCGTAACAGATGTACCTCAATATTATTACTTATTTTGCCGCTCTACTTAACAGGAGAAATTGAAGAAAAGAACCCGTAGTTAGAAGAATGTAGTCGTTCCAAGTGTTCTGATTTCAGCGGTCACCTACCCTCACACACCAACGAGCGTTGCTGAGTGAATTTTCGCACTCTTTTGTCTAATTGACCGAAAGGTTTGCAGATAAACCTTTGACATGAGTTATTCTACCTGAAGTTAGACTTTTCATACGTTTTTGATACTCTACGTCACTGAGGAAGACCAACTATAGCTTGGATACGTATTATGCTGCTAACGTCGTTGCGAGGCCGAATGAGATATTGCGGACGATGTAGCTGCTACACCCATAAAATCCCCTCAAGAGGAAGAAGCGTAGAAACGGCCACCGATATACTATGTAAGTGTCTGTGCAAACGCAGCAATATTGAATGCCACTCAAGAGAATGAGGCTCGCTCACTGCGAGGGATTTATCGTTGACAGAGTCCCTTGTTGCTAACGCTTCCCACGGACGAATTAATCTTTATTATCGAGCAAAGATAGGAGTCGGTGAAAGTCTGAAGCCTGTTTGGAACGTCAAGCACCAGGTTTCTAAACCATGGAGAATCACTGACTTCACATTAGTACAGAGAATTCGGAACTTGACGCTTATGATGGGTGTAGCAGATTTCCGTATCGTGTCCCAATAGGTCATATATTCATCTTAGGTAGTCGGCACATTTTTCCAATGCTCATTGTTGTCAATAAGACCTTTCATCAATTCGTGATTAATTAGCCTTTACCTTTCATCGTGCTTTCAACCCGTCGAACTAAAGCTCAGGACCAAACTCCAGTTCAGTACCAAGTTCTAAGCTACACTTGTGTACATTAGTGGTTCAACGGTAGGATACTCGCGAAGTCCGGGTTCGATCCCTGGGGCTGGGGCACTCCTAAATCCCGCTTAGCCGGTATAAGGCCAGGAGACCAGAGGAGATTGTCTAAAGCTACTGAACCCACGTCGAAAATTACCACCACCGCCACTCCAACTTCAAAGCTTGAATCTCTATGTGGCGCAGGGTCTAAGATACGAGTGCTTGAAATGAAGAGTCACAACTCCACAAGACGAAACATCTATTTAGTTGTCCAAATTTGTCATTCATTATAATTCATTGAGTACTTTTTGGTGAACTGAGTAATGATGTCATTGCTCTTATTCTGTTGGGCTGTTTTGTTCGTGAGACTTATGCATAACTGGGAGATGACAGCATTCTACTAACTAGGTAACTGTCATACGTGAAATTCAGTGTATTTGAATAATAGCTATATTACTCACTGTGGTGGTTGAGCCAAGTAATATGCGACTCTGAAGAACATCGTAGTAAATTCGACAAGCCCTTCAATAATCATATCGTCTCTTATCTTTATATGGCAAATCGCACAACCATAGGGTCTATAGTGATTGCATAAATGATCCGCTGACTCAACGTTCCTTTCGCTAAATATAACAGCGACGAGAGGAATATTGGATTCTTCTAAGTTGTACAAATTTCTCGGACTAGTTTAGCTCAATCTACACGCCAGGGTGGTCCTGAAATCAGTACAGTTCGCCAAACCTCTCGCTACACATCTCGTAGTCGTACCTCGAAAGTTCATCACCTTATTTATTCACACAATAGCTACCGACACACAATAGATGAAATCTTCATCACCCTACTGGGATTGGGGTGCTTGGCGGCACTTCGACAAAATCTTGTCCAGATAAGCAACACCAATGCCAAGATTGCAAAACTGTTGGACACTAAAACGGTTTTAGTCAGCAACACACATAACGACTCTCAACACTACGGAGATCCTTGACAAGTCGCCAGAGACGTTGTCCGCAATCAGTACATGCCCGCCAAAAATCCGTCAAGGTTCGAACAACACGTTCCCAGGATGTCACTGCGCCTGTTTCTCAACTAAACAGACATGAGACATATGCTCTGTTACCACGAAATAACGCCAATCTCTCCTGAGGGCAACTGTGAAGGAAAACGTGTACAGCCCTTGAGGTTGCGTACGACTCATGCTAATATTTCACAACTATAAATTAGGATGGAAATCTAGTGAGAATAGAATCCGGCATGGGGAAGTTTTAGAAGCGAACTTAGTTACTTGGAGAGATGGGATGGAACAGTGTGTGTAGGTTAGATATACATAGAGATGAGGGAAAACACCTGCTACAGGTTATAAAATGATATATAATCTCACCATGTGGTGTAAATGCATTAAAACGATATGAAAGGGAAATATTTAAAGAGAATGTAAAAAAATAAAGTTTCTTGTTCTGTTCTAGTGGATTGATGATCACAATACCTGCTGGGGATGGGTGATATACACGAAAGAAGGATATCTCAAGGGTGACTATGTTATAGAAGAAATATTTAAACATATTCAGTTCTGAATTACTACTATTAGTAATAGGAAAATCAACAGTATTGCTACTATTACGAATAATAATAATAATGTTAGTAGTAAAAAAAACTCTAGAGGGATTCTAATGACTTCAGTGCTGCTAAATGATAAAGGTTAAGTTGTTGTCCATACATTCCCACATATGCCGCCACCATTTTTGGTGTTTTATTGAGCAAACGCTCAGCGAGCGCCTCATAATCGAGGCCCAGTTCAAGGACGTGGTATGTAAGCATTCGAACATCCACCGAGCTCCAATGAGGATCCTACAAGGACATATAAATGTGAAAACATAAATATGAAATGGTCATATACTGAAAAATGAATCCTGTAAGCTAAAAAAAATAATGGTAAAGGATGAAAACATAGTGGAAATTACAGAAGACGAAAATACTATAATACATAAAATTGAATGATATTTGTCGATAAGAAGCTGTTGGAATATCGACACTATTGTATCACACCAGATTCGGTTAGACTTACAAGAAGGACTATCCAACAATCAATTCGCTAGAGCAGCCCATTATTAGTTCAGTGCATAAGTACGGGAATTGCGCCAGTCGAAACAGCATACAATGATGGCAACCATACAGTTCCATCCTGATGAAGTGGCAGCGTTTATCATCTTGAACACTTCGTCTCTATACAATCATTTCTTCTTGGCTAGTGCCAATTTCAAACATAGGGAATAACACTGTCTAACCTAGGGACCCCCCACACACCACTGAACCAACGATGGACTCGAACGGATAACGTTACCATAATCTATCAGTGAAGGAAGGCAGTAGACGACTACTAGCTACTGCTTCTTCTGAAACCGCACTCTGCTCCGCGCACATATATGCCGATGACTAAACGGACATAAAAAGCCAACCGACTGAGTTCACCGTGGAAATCTATACAAAAGTGCAACAGTCTGAGTTTTCACATTTAACAAAAGTGGAAATCAAATTGTATTTTCACAATGTAGGCCAGTGTATAAAGCTTTGTGTGTCAGCAACATATCCATGTGGATGAATAAGATAACAATACCTGCTGTTCAAATCTCAGTTGGATGATCTGTGAGATCGTAATGTACAATATTATGCATTTTCTGATCCTTAAGAGCACTAAACACAGATATCATGATGATGGCAAAACAAATGTACAGCAATAATCGATAGGTTAACTTACTATTGGCACTTCAGGAGTTTTGAAAGCTGAAATACCGTCAAGCAATTTCTTCTTCTTTTCAGCAAGCTTTAAATAAACAACATGAAAACAAGAAACTATAAATAATGGCAAAAATAATAATAATTTATAGTAATGATTAATAATAATAATTAACCAACAAAGACGAAATTGGCATCGATATTTTGAAAAAAAAGATATCAATCTAGAGAAGCGTAAAAATTTAAATTTAAGAAAAGAAAATGACTAAATATGATTGTGTCCAAACAAAATGTGATAATGTCAATATTTCACATAGAAGCATGAGATGCTGGCTGGATAAGGTATTTCACTTCACTGGTGGTACGGTACAGTGATAACTGATGATCATGGAGAAATATATGGTTACGGCATATGAAACATTGCAAGGTGCTAAGTGGTAAAGTAATCTAGGTATCTAATTATATCGATTAAATCCTAGTGACTGGTTGATGAATTTAGTGACAAACTTCGCAAAATAACAATGCAAACGTTTAAGTTGGTTTCACTTCGAAAAACGAATTACACAAAAGTAAAAAGAAAGCGAAATGTTACGAAGATAAAATAGATGCAGATAGGTTGAGTGGAGAGAACAATTAGATCAAGAATGGTGAACATTTGGACAGCAGAGAGGATTGGGAGTATTTGACCGTTTCTTGGAGCCAAGAAAGAAGGTGAAGCCACCTTGGTTAGGGTCATTGTGATGCTGACAACTAGCACTATAAGATTACTGGTAACATGGTTCAAAATTGCTTTCAACGGCTCAGATACATTCACTCACTCATCACTCCTAAATCTATCAAGTCCTTGTTATTTACACTATTATACTTATTCTTTCTGCATTCATTATAGATCCCTTTGATTTTTTTTCTCCACTTTCCTACACTGGGGAGTGTATGGAGCTTGACAACTTGAACTGCTGCAAATTTACACAAAAACCTACTTTGAAAACTCAGTCAGTCAGCTAGGATTGGGTACACATCCACGCGCCTGTGTGAGCGGTTTCCGAAGCAAGACTCAGAATGCATAAAACGCCAGTGTAAACAATGTAGTAGAATTTTCAAGGACAAAGTTTACCAGTATCTGATTGGTCAAAAACTTATGTGTTTAATTATAATTACGATTGTACAGCTCATGAAAATGAATCGTCGAAAAGAAAATTTTCTTCGCTGTTTGTGCCTTTTCTTATGACTCAGTATGGGAATATTTCGTTCATTAAACAATGAAACTTTACAATCTCATCGATTTATTACCTTATCCACTAAAACTACATCTGACCTTAATATTATTACCGAACATATTGCTTCTACTATACAAAACAATAAACTAAACATAAACATCTTTGATTACAGATAACTACTCTTTTTACACCTTACCTTCCACCTTCAACGTCGAAGTTTCACAGTCGTAAGGGAGGAAGGAGCGAACTAGTGCATAGTACACACTATTTAGCACCAAAGATGACATAATATATGACAAGTTAGCCTTATGTATATCCCCGTGCTGAGACTTCGTTGGTAATCGGTTACAATTAGGGTTGATACAAATCTTCAAACGATTCATCAGATGGTCAACCACCATACTTCCTCATCCTTAAAACAGGGATCGATCATACATTTTTGACGAAGGCGAACAGCATGTCATATAAAAAAATACTCTGATCTTGTGTACTAGTGTGATTGATGAATGGGACAGTGGAAACTACCCACATCAAGTAGTATGGGCAAAGAGTAAGAAATAAAGATCTCATTTCACTTACTTCTTTAATTCGCTCATCCAGTGGATAGGATAAATCACGTATTGCAGCATTCAATTCGTCCATCTCTTTAGCGTTCTCTTCTGGGGTAGAATTAAAGATACGCAGGAACTCTTTGTGTGAATAATAAACTCCAGGGGGTAATCTTGTTCTGTAAAGTATTTTTTTCAAAGAAAAGAAGCTACTGCATGAAAAATGAGATCGATGCATGAAGGAAAAGTGAAACGCAATAGAACTTAACCTTTTAGAAATTCATCACAAGTAAAAAGACAAGGCATGTGAATCCTACTACGCTAAAATTTACAACCAGTAAATAACCACTTTGATTAATCCATTGCTTAACTAAAAAAGAAGTCAAGATTGATAACTTTTAACTTCAGTTAGTTAGCCTTAAAAGTAAGCAATTTAAATACCATGTGTATGTACTCACGTTTTGACAACAAATGGAGTTATCTGGTTGTCGAATCTTGGTAAGAAGTAGAAACTTTAACTAGTGTCTAACTAAAAGTTGTACACCTCTAAGCCAATAAAAATAGCATATCCTGAATTTCTATCTATTTTCGACATAGAACTTTGCACATATGTGCGACAATTCAAGTTGCCACACTCCTTGTAGCACACAAAGCAAAAGAAGAAATGCATATTAGAGACAGTAAACTGAGGTATGAGACAAAGGAAGGGTAGTAACGAAGAACAAAACAGTCTCATTGGAAATCATAAGTCACAAGAAGTGGATGCATCTGTGCCATTGAGAACGATTTTGAGCCATATCACCATTTGTTTCCAACCATTGGTTTTTACCGTCCCGAGGACCCCCAACCAGGAAGTCTACACCTTCCTACGTGGCTTAGACTAACTGTTGTAGATATCATTGACTGGTGCCGTGTTTCATCCGAACTGCAGTCAGTGGGAGAGTAGGCGGAGATTACGAAAAGGCATCGGCGAGTAGTGCAGTCCTTTCTCCTTTTTACGGACCCGTTCAGATGGACAGCACACATTCGGCTATCTACCGGGATCCAGTCAAGTAATGTCTTTTCTGCCCTAGTACTCAAAGCTATCTCTACACCACCTAATCCTCGTGAGCTAGTTGCGGCATCTCCTGACACCCTCAAGGTGAATTTTGCAGATTCAACCTGTTGACCAGGTGGGGTTAGGTGAATAACCACACTTGGGTCATGTATGCGTGTTTCTGAAACACAACATACATCAATGGCTCGGGACGCCAGAGTCTTGGCTAGTGATGCTTGTTGTCCTATTCGGGAAAGTGTCCTATCATTAAATGCGCCTATATGAGATTGGTGGCGTGGCTTTAGGAGGCTGTTGGTGGTGGTATTTTGGCTTCCATCGTTTTTAGTGGACACAGAGTGAAGAGGAAGTGAAGAGCCATCAAGTAGAGGAGTTACATCAGTGGAAGGAAGGCAAGATAATAGAGATGAAGATGAAAACAAAGATGAATGAGGATTAGAGAGGTTTCGTGTGCAATTCGGATTGTGAGGGCGATTGTTACTTCCCGGCTGCCCACACCGTGGAAGTTTGTTGCCAGTGGCTGAATGGTATACGAGCTTGCCTTGTAACCGGAAGGTTCTGGGTTCGAATCCCAGTGGGTGCATACTGCCGATGATTCCCAAACTAGGATGAAACAGCAGCTGTCCAGTACTCCCTGGTTTTTCAATGGTTCTCTAACTGATATCAATCCGTGATCAACTCGTAAAACATAACTCATCCTTACAAACCAAACTATAGATAATAATAATAATAATAATAATAATGTATTTAGCAGAAATAACATATGACTGCTGTTGCATGCTTCAAATCTTCTGTCACGTTGCACTCGATTTTATGATTATAAAGAAATATTAAGTCCATAACGTTTACATTGCTAATGAATTTTAGCATGCATACTTCAATACCTGAGTAAAAAAGTAATTCATAATCTGAACAGTCAGACGAAAAAAGTCCTTAAATTCCTTAACATGCGGGAACAAGTTCAAATCATTAGAATGGACATAATTAGTATCTTTGGTTTTGGATACACCGACCCTACCTTGGTAGGTAGCAGTAAACAACTAAAGTTCAGTGTTTCCTATGGGTTTAATTTTCAACAAATCTTAGTAATCAAAGTTGATGTGCCAAAAAAACCCTGAGTGAAACAACATGAATTCATTTAAGCACTAATAAATAGGAATACCTTGAATCATAAGGCGTTCTTTTAGACAGAATTCCTCTGCGAGAACTAAGTTTAATGGGACCTATATCCTTGTTTGCTCCATTTGATTGAATACTACAAGAAGCTGTTGCAGCAGCCGCCGCGGCAGCAGCAGCTATTTCCTCTTCGAAGCGTGCATGTCTTCGTGCAGACAGACGATTGGGTGTATTCATCAAATCACCAGTAGGTAAATTTAGAGAATATTGAGATAACACAGTTGTATTGGCTGAACCCCGACCTTTACCATAGGATCTCTGACGGCTACGACTAGGATTTACAGAATCTTTTCTTGAATTATTTTGTATATCACCAGCTTGTTGTTGTTCTACGTTTTCCAAATCGGCTAATAAATATGGTGGATACACTTCTGCCTCGGAGTCTGACTCAGTACTCAAGGCACTGTTTTCTGTATCACTATCTGATTCGTCAGATTCTTCAAATACTCCATTTAACATATCCAAATGTCGCTTTATTTCAGCATCAAGTGGATCGCTCAAATCGAGGTAATTGTCATATGTCTGAAAAAGGAACAATTAAGGCGCTTCTTAAATGGACACATGATATCAAGTTTTAGAAAGATCTGGTTAAACCACATATAAAATACATATTTTATACAAACACACTTGACATTCTTCAAAACCAAGAGCTAAATTTGTTTGTTTTTTCTACTTTCATCGTGACACCCATCTTGACTCGAAATGGATACTCGGCACGTTTGGAGGAGGATATGGAACCAAAGAAAACACTATATTTTAAGGTGAACTTCAAGGGACACTTAGCAGCAGAATCTCCAGTTACCTAAAGAAGACCCTTCCTGCAGCAACTACAAGAGTGATATTCCCCAGTCGCCCACAGCTTCGAAGCAACGTGAAGGACAGACTTCAGCATATGACCGCTTGTGTGTGTTCAAGTTTCTCTAGGGGTTTGAAAGAATTAGTGGTGTGGGGTTGCTAGCCCTACGCCCAGGTCCTCCGTCACTAACTGAGGTTACTAAAGCTGTCACCAATCTGAAACTAGGCAAAGCAGCGGGACCTGATGGAATCACTCCAGAGGTATTTAAGTACGGTGGAGACAGCTTACTGTCCGGATTAACTGAGGTACTAGGCAGCGTCTGGGAATCAGAAGAAGTCCCATCGGGTTGGTGTAAGTCACTGATTATCCCCATATACAAGAAGGGAGACAAGTCTTCCTGTGATAATCACAGAGGGATTAGCTTGACTAATATAGTATCTAAAGTCTTAGGCTCAATAAACATGCGTAGACTGAGTGGTGCCCGGGAAGCACAAACACGAGAGAGCCAGGCAGGCTTTAGACCAGGAAGAGGGTGTATTGATCATACCTTCACCCTCCGACAGATTCTAGAACATAGTCATTCCTACCGGCGTCCAACAGTCATTAAATTTCTTGACCTTAAGGCAGCATTCGACTCTGTCGATCGGGAAGTTCTCTGGAGATGCTTGGCTGTAAAGGGAATTCCAAGAAAATATATCGCACTGATTAAGGCACTCTACTCGTACTCATACAGCCAGGTGAGGGCTTATGGCGAGCTGTCATCTGAACTGATGACGACCAGTGGTGTCCGTCAAGGATGCCCATTATCTCCTTTTCTATTCAACTTCATCATAGATGTGTTAATGGACTTAACTCTAGGTGACTTCAGCGACTCAGGGATTGACTTGCTACCTGGGAATAATCTCGTTGACTTGGAATATGCAGACGATATAGTCCTTCTAGGCGAAGACGCTGACAAAATGCAGAGTCTTCTAAACACCTTGAGCCGCAATCTACGAATGTTTGGCATGCGATTCGCTCCCGCCAAATGCAAGATGATGTTACAGGACTGGACTACATCGACGCCTAGTTTAAAAATAGGAAGTGAAGTGGTAGAGCACGTTGACCGCTTCACTTATTTGGGAAGCACCATCAGCCAGTGCCAACGGGTTGATCTCTGACGAAATCTCAGCACGAATACAAGGGGCTCGTTTCGCATTTGTTAGTTTACGCCGACTCTGGCGTAGACGAGATGTTCGACTATCGACCAAAGGGCGGGTGTACTGCTCATCAGTCCGCTCCGTCCTCCTTTATGGTTGTGAGACCTGGCCATTGAGAGTGGAAGACATGAAAAGGCTGGACTGTCTTTGATCATAGGTGCCTGCGTTCTATCTCCCGTGTGAAGTGGTATAATAAGGTGAGCAATAATGAGGTTAGGCGTCGAGTTCTAGGTAAACAGGGGAAATCAATCGACGAAGTCGTGAAGCTACAAAGACTGAGATGGTTAGGACATGTGTTACGTATGCCAAGCCATCGCCTCCCTCGACGAGCTATGTTAGCGGATATAGGGTCAGGCTGGAAAAAAGCTAGCGGCGGTCAAACAAAAACTTGGCATCAGTCAATGAAATCCACAACAGTTGGTCTAAGCCACGTAGAAAGGTGTAGACTTCCAGGCTGGGGTCCTCGGGACGGTAAAAATCTATGGTTGGAAACAATTGGTGACATGGCTCAAAATCGTTCTCAGTGGCGCAGATGCATCCACTCCTTGTGACTTATGATCTTCAATGAAACTGTTTTGTATTTCTTTATTACTCCTTTGTCTCACACCTCTGCTCACTGTTTCTATTATGCTTTTCTTGTACTTTCTTCTCTTGCTTCGCGTGCTACACGGAATGTGGCGACTTGAACTTCCGCACATTTGTGCAAAGTTCTATGTCGAAAACAGACAGACAGACAACCCTATGCCCAACCCTCCCTCTTTACTCGGACTTGGAACCGGCTAGAAAACCAGGGAGCTAGTTAACTAAGCGCAGTTATATAACCACTTCAATGTGCATATATCAGTTCACCTGCTCGTATGGAGCTAGAGATACATAGGTCATTCTATGCGGGTCCTATCAAAACATGTTGGAGAATACTACTCAACATGGTAGCAAAGAGGAGACACTGGTTCAATCAGAAGCACTATAATTGAACATTACGTCAATTTCTGTCACGCCACCTCAACTGACTCATCATTCAGAGTCATTTACAAAGTTAACAAAAATCTACCAAAGTTAATGTCTTTCCAACTTCTTCGTACTACAGAAGCTTTCGCCAAATGTATCGAAAAACCGCACTGTGTTCAAAGGAAATTAGTCCAACCTCTACATTCGCCGTGGATTTAGTATGGTTTGTCCCTTTAGGTCCGGTTTTTTTCATCCCCTTCATTTTTTTTCATTTTCAGTTATAAAATATCATTATTTCAATGTTTCCATGCTCATCATGTTCACATCTTCGTTAAAAACTTTCTTATCCTGCATAATTTTGTTTCTAAGCCCCTTGTAATCTGTATCCACACCTTCAAACCTTAATGTCAAGTTGAAAACTATCATCATCTTCTTCGTCATTACTGTGGAATTAAATAATGATTGTACCTATGTAAACCTACATAGAAAAATTCGATTGTACGGCTTTTGAGAATGAAATCTCCGAAGAGATGTATTTCTTGTTTTTTCTCTCTAGTATAGACCTATCTTGGTTTCCCAATCCTATCTTGGATATTCTCAACTGTTCCACCTATGATTCAAACGATGCTGTCTGGCAAGTTAAAGAAGAGACCCCATTCAAATTTCTCCCGTTGATAATGATTGGTTCTTGATTTTGTTGTTGATAAGTTACCTTCATCACCTCCACCTCCTCCCAGTTCACTGGAAGTCTTGTCTTCACTGCTCCTTTGCTTGAAGATCTGCGAGTAAGTGAGGCATTAGACATAACAAAGTCCAGATCCCCTAGAGTCTTCTTACCGGTCGTCCAGCATATTTGTGTTTTTGCAACACACAGTGTGACTGACTCACAGTCCAATCCACCAAATATCAACAATGATGGTAAGCTGCTTTTTTTACTCTTTTCCTCACTATAAAGGCCTCGCTGGGTTTTTCGTTATTAATCACTGGGTATGTGGCATCATTGTACAAGTTAACTAAGATTTAGAGTACAGTATACTCCGTAGTGTTGAAGTGGTTTCCAAATTACTTGACGGATGCTATCGAAGGACTTTCCGTAGTGAATAAATTCGAGGTATTACAGTTTGTATCTCAGTCAATCCAGTCGAAAATCTTTCGTCATAATCCTTAAACACTTCCCTTCCACCTTGCGTCGAGTCGTTTCTGATACAACGCTCGCTATCTTGACTACGGTTAACGGAGGCATATCGACATCCCACTGAGGTTTCGGTGGAGTAGTAAGGCAACTAATGCAGCTGTAGACCAGGAGAACAAGTCAATAAATTATCCTAGTCGACACTCTGATCGTCTCTTTTGAGAAATTACATGATTCCACTCTTCTCTAAAAGATTGTTTCACCTATCATCACACCTTTTCAAAGGCAGGTTTCCTTGATAAACATAATTACTAGGCGTTATTGACGAATACGACTGATGTGTTTTCTACTTTTTTCTCAGTCTTTGTTACCAATCATTGTCCATGGTTGTTCCGAAAACTTTTGTTAATTTGCTATTGAGCAATTTTTGCTTCTCATCATTTTCGAAGCATGCTATTCTGAAATCTACTGGCATTCTAGTCAACTTCCCCTGAAGGTTTTTAATAGCATATATCTCTTTGTCTACACAGCTGAATTCATGTGATACCAAGCTACCCCAGGATGAGCATTCCTGTCACACACACACACACACACACACACTGATAAGTGTTTGTTTATGACTGGATAACTTAATTTTCCATCCAACCGAAGTGCATCTTATTCCCTCTGTTTCATGCTGATTTACTAATCTAATTGCACCCTTGAGTTGCGGTCTATATTTTCAAGCATTTTCAAATACTTTCCAACCAATTACTATAGATTTTTCGGAAGCGATAGATGAAAAACATTGCAGTTTTGATTTCTTTATAGAGCAGTATTGTTTCAAGTGATATATTGCCAATCATCAGTGTACTTGAAGATTCTATATCAGAAGTAAATACTTTGTAATCTAATCTGCTGAGGATTCTGTACTATGTATGATTATAATTTTCAGAATAAAGCTATTAACATTATTACAATAAGCGCTTTTTTCTGTGTAAACGAATTTTTGTGCTGGCGAAAAAGAAAATCGTACAAGACAATTATCGTTGTCAGTCGGTCAGCATGGGATTCCATGGACACTTCAGATATGCTTTTCAGAGTAACTGTTTTCCTACCTCACCATTGATATCTATTATACCTGAGTGCTTTGCTTGTAATATTAAACTCAACAGTCTTTTACTTCGGAAGGACAGCAGACAATCGATGCGTACGTAAAGAGTACGAAAAGGCAGATGCATTTAACCGCAGAGCATACAAACTGTTCCCTAGGATCCAATATGTTCTTGATCTTATGACTGCTCATTCTTCAGCAAGTTCACAAAGACCATTCATTGATTTTTCTGATACCAGTAGAGTGAATTTCACCACGCTTCCCAAGTGGGATCAAGACACTAACTACAAATAGGTCTTGTGTGTTGTTCCAGAAATACAACATACATCCGAAACCTGGGGTGCTAGTTTCGGCAGATGAGAACTGTTTCACACAACTTGAGATAAGGTCAACTGCAAAATCTAGTTGGCAGCGCGGTCTTGAAAACGCTACAACTGGTATTTATCCTATTTAGGTAGTTACCACCGTCCACAGAGTTAAAGGATGAATAATTCGTCGGAGGGATAGTGTTAGACGTAGGATAAAGGCATGATGACAGTGGGTAATGAACAGAGAGATTCCGCTAGCTTACAGAATATGTATTTGCTGCTTCTAGACTGCCCGTACCACAGTTGATTTCTTCTTGAATTTCATCGAAGAGAAGTGTTAGTGTTGCGTGACCGTAGAACCCAAAGGACAACTGTTTAACATCAGTTACACAGTCTATTTGGAATGGTTTTTGAAGTTATATTCTTAGGAAGACCTCATCACCTGCTATGGGTGAATCTGGATGCACAATTTCCGAGGCCAACCTTTCTTTAACCCCCGTTCCCAGGGCAGGAAGGAAGCTTAATCGACTTGCGTGTCGCTTAAGGCAAACATTTTACTGCCGTTTCACATATATCCGCCAGCAGTACTACTTCACCATGATTGTTGCAACTGCTTCTAGTCCAACCTTCCTTCAACCAACCCTCTTGTCATGGTGGGATGCGAAGTGAAATTCATTACAGCCAATGAATTTGTAATGTATTTTGTTGGGTCATTGAGATATACACGCCTGACCATCACCTCACTGTAGCAGCTGTCAGTGAGTTTACATCCGTTAGACCGAAATCTATTGATTTAAAGGAAGACTACCCACTGGATGACTACTATGAGAGGAGGTGAAAATTTTTGCAAACATGACTTTCGAAAAATAAGGTAGTGGAGACGTGATTCCATACGCAGTGGACACAAGCGGGTGAAGCGTGTGAGTAAATGTGTAAGCGTTAGACTCATATAAACAAAACGAGATATCAATCAAAAACATGAATTAGCTAGTCAATAAATCAACAGTTGGAACTAACCTGGTCAGCAAAATATGACTTATAATTTGGTGGCAGCCTCATGGCAGGCTTCACCAAACCACTTTCGATCAGACAAAACCATTTAGTTCCATAAAGACACATCTCTTGTAACGTTTGTCTGATTTTCTTGTTCAAGTAGTAGAAGAGTATCAGTTCCTTTACTGAGCGATTGGGAAACTGTGGTAAAAGGTAGAAAAAAAAAGTTATCAAGAAATGGTTTGTGGAGATTCTGTTTGTTTCAGGGTAGATCACGGATTGATGATGATTAGAGAACCAGTAAAAACCATCAGGGAGAACTGGACATCAGTTTCATCCTAGTTTGGAGACCATCGGCAGTACTCACCCACTGCGTTTCGAACCCAAGACCAAGACTTTCTGGTTACAAGACAAGCTCGTATACCAATCAACCACTGGGACCCGACTCAATGACCCATGAATTCCAACTTCTATCGATTCATGACTTTAGCGCGACCACCAACCAATGTCATCCACGGGAACTCCATCCTCATTACCGACTGGTAGAAGTTAGAATTCATAGGTTGACCAGTGAATCAGGTCCCAGTGGCTTAATGGTATATGAGCTTGCCTTGTAACCAGAAGTTCCTGGGTCCTAACCCAAATGGGTGCGTACTGCCGATGATTTCCAAACTGGGATGAAACAGCTGTCCAGTAATCCATGATGGTTTTTAATAGTTCTCTAACTGATATCAACCCACGGTCTAACCTGAAACAAAGAAAAATTAGTTTGGTAATAATGGTCAACAATAATGACGACAATAATTCCCCTTTGTGCACAACAAACAGTGAGACTCAGTTGACAGGGTGAAAATAAATGGAATACGTTCACGTTACTGACATGACCTAGCGGTGATAAGGAAACAAGTTTGGACTACTCTGTTGCACCGACCGTAATTTGAATGTCATAGTCTTAGGGATACTTCGTCACTCCTATTATCTATTCCACAACTTTAAAAAAAAGATAGAAACAAAGCTGGCAAATGGGTCAAGTCGGGTTAAAAAAAAACGTTTATTAGATATTTTTCGGTTATCGCCGTCACAATGTGATTTGCTCACTTTGATTAATCATAGGTTCCTTGCCAATTTTCAAACAAGATTAAACCATATGTAGTCTAAATTCTAAACTGTGTCAGAAAAATTAAAAAAGGCACAAAGTGATAGGGAACTATTTACTGCATGATATATGGAGCATATTGTATGCTTCATAATAATCCCCTGACTTGATGTGACTAAACTGAATCCCAGTATTATCACACGTTTATTCTCATCAATTTCTTGACAGGCAGAAATGTGCCTCGTACTGTTGAGTTACACAAAAATGGTCTACTACTGTAACCATAATTTTCATTCACCAGTTATCGCCAAAAAGGAATTAATTAGTCTCAGAAAGAGGTTTTCAGACGCTGATACATAATGAATGAATTGCGTACTTCACTCTCAACCTGTGGGTCACAGTGCAGATAGTTTTATAAGTCTGAACATGTGTGGTGTCAGTGATTCGGTGATATAGTACTGATTAACGCGACTCATGTGGTCCCTGGGTTCAATCACCGACTAACGTACTCTTAGATACCCCCCCCCTTAGGAAGGTAATAGCCTCGGTAAAGAGGGAAGGTTGGGTGTGATGCTAGCAACACCCATCTGTTGAAAAAGTAACACTACTGCAAGTGAAGTTCCGAACATCAAAGCTTGCAGTAATGTCCCACTGGGAACATAAAGGAGTAAAATAGTAGAAATGTTAGGCTTTAACTACTGAATTCTTACTTAGAGTTTACTGACACACTTGAGTCTAACAGTCTGTTATACAACACGAGGAAAAAGCGTGCTTAATTTTTTTTAAATAGTCTAAAATTCACAATAAAATTCTGTCCTTGAACAGTTTGGTAATATACTTTTTTATAAATAAATAACATGTAAATACACATAATAAATAGTAATATATGATAAATATACTTTCAGATTACATATTTGCAAAGTGTTCATTAAAAAGGTCCACACAACATAGTGGTAATCACTTAGCTGTGTTTCGGTGTGCTTTATACTCCGAAAATGTTGCAAAACTGGGGCTAGCATGTCTAACTAGTTTTCCAGTCGGGCTTAAGGCTGAGAAAAGAGGGAAATTTTTTCGTGTGGCTAGCGATGATACCCCTGAAAATCAATCCAATCTACACAGCAACTTCAAAGAACAAGGAAAATATGAGACACACTTATTCTCTTCTGGAATCGGAGAGAAAGAATGACGTGGTCTGACAGCTGGTGAAGGCCTTCCGGTAGCCAGTCAGTCTGTTTGTCTTCTGTCAACGAAAGCGAATATAAGCACCGGGAAGTGGTGTTAGTACGACGTACGGAACTGTGAAGGCTGCTCACATTGCCAAAGCAATAAGACGACATAAAATTGCTAGGAATCTGTGCAAAAACCGGTGGAATGGGTGTGGACTCTCCAATGATCTGCTCCAGTCACCCATTCAGACAACAACCAGGAGCACACTCAGGAAGTGGCTATAATATAATCAGCAACCAGTATCATCCAACCAACTCATGCAGTGGTAACCAATATCATCCAGGATCATGACAGCAAGTCCCTACTCAATAGAAAGGAAAGTAACAGTTACCCAACGCTACGCACAAGAAAAGAAAGATTTCTGTGGACAACTAAAAACAGTAATGGATAAAACCTCCAGTGCTTGCATCAAAATCCTTATAGGCGATATGAATGACAAACTGGGAGCAAACAATACGGGAAAAGAACTCATCATGGGTCCAGGTGCTCTCGGAGAAATGAACGATAGTGGACAACTCTTCGCAGACTCCTGCACCTTCAACGATTCGGTAATCAAAGGCGGCGTGTACAAGCACACAGATACGATATGCAAAAGACGACATAGATTTCACCTGACAAACACCAGAAACCAGATACACTTTATCCCAATCTGAAGAAAGTGGAGACGCAGCCTGCTAGACACAAAGTTGAGAAGGGTAGCAAATGTGGACTCAGACCATCGTCTAGTTCGAGGAACCTTCAAGTTCAAGTTGAAAGCCATCAAAGCAACCAGAGACAGACCACACTCCCAGTTCAACAATCAAAACCTAAACAGCGAAACTACAAGGGACAACTTCACTTCAGCCACCAGAGTAAATTTGGAGATACTATGTAGCATCACTGAGGAAATTTGCATGGAAGAAAATTGGAACTCTCTGAAGGTGATGTTCAAAGAAACGTTTATAGCCGTTCTCGGAGAAAAGAGGCAGGACGATGAATGGCTCTCTACGGACATGCAGAGGGGCGGAATGGTGAAAAAAGAATGTGCACCAATGCAAAGATGGACAACAGAAGAAGATGAATTCGACGTACAACGCACAGAACAAAGAGTACAATGTAAAATGTAAAGACAAAAGACAGTTGTATGCCACACTCGCAGCTGAATAATAACAGGCTGGGGGAGAGACAGACCTATATCAGATGACTAGGTAGTTATCCGGGAATGGGTAAACACAGATGAAACCAATAAACTATGGTCGAGGAAATGTACATGGATTGGATAGGCCGAGATAGTTGAGTGACGTCACGCGTCAAGCCCTCGAGTGGACCTATCTGAGCGGGGAACAACCAGTTTGGTGTCCGAATAAGATATCGAGGAGATGAGTGTCTATTAGCAATCATGCGGTTAGCCGGAAAAGACTGCAGAGAACAAGATTAAGCGGGAATGTGCTGTGGAGCCCTATGTTCCAGTCGGAAACCAAAGGAGTAGTCAAAATAATAGCTAGAACCCAACTGATGATTATTTGCCTCTCTTTTCGCGACTTAGTTAAATAGTACAGATATTTCATCTATTAGGTTATGAACTATACTTTATACGTACCCAGGTTCACTAGGGTTGAAGCACACAGTGGGATTTCAATGGAGGAGCCAATGGTTCGCAGTTAAGTGCTACAGTCAATGTGGCACTGGACAGACAGTAAAGACCACCTTATGCTAGCAGAAACTCCAAAGTTGAAAATAAATGTTTTTAACACTTCTCTTCTAGAAACTATTTGGTGATCTAGTCTGAGTTCCAGGTGAAGGCACAGGGTTCCTAGAATTTTTCCGTCGGCCCAACGTGTTCCAGTTTTTTCTCGTCTCCATGATCCGGTCCACAACAATAAGGAACATCGCGGGCGATGGTTGATAGCCTTGCTTTACTCATGTTTTCACTTTCAAAGTTCTACAGAGCTTGGCATATGGCATTATCATACAGTTGTTTCAAGTATTTCATAAAATGTATAGAATACATTTGTAAAAAGTAGTAAAAACTTACAAGCTCTTTTAATTTATGAAATTTTTTATGATAATGCTCTATCGCAACGAAGAATATTTGCCTCTCGGAGTCGGTCCAAGCATTTTTAACGGGCTTTCGATTTTCGAGATCAGCACAAGCCCGATCAAAATCGAGTTCGTGCCATGTGAGAAGAGCAAGAGCCTGCTCCTCTGAATATCTTGAAAAAGAATGGAGGGAAATAGACCAAAATTAGCAGAATATAAATAAATATTAAAGCTCAACTTATACGGATAAAAAATTACTCGAAGCAGGTGAAGTTGTTTTTTCTAACAAAACAGTAAACAAGTAGAACGTATTTGGAAAGCAGAAAATTATCATACGATCACATCGAAGCATGTCACTGAAGAATTTGCAAATACTTATTTGGCTACCGAAAAAATGGCGATCGACGATGGCAGTAGTCTTTTGACCTATTAACGTCACTACTAAAATAATAACTAAGGACCTTCACTTATCTGTTTTTTACCTCTTCTATACCAAACCTATCATATATGGGGTGATAACACCAACTCTATTCAACGGTATCGTAAAAACAACCTTGCTGTGTCGCACCTAGACCTTCATCAATTGCTCCAGTCACAGATATTCTAAACAAATTAAAATAAGCAGATAATATAGTCCAGATACACGCGTCTTGAAAATGACGTTTTTAAAAACAGTAACTGACAATGTGTTGATGCTTGAGATTCCACTTTTTGATTAGTTATGACACACAAATTGATCGTAGCAACACCATAAATAGACAAAAACGAGGGAAATTAAACAACTGAATGGATATATATATATATATATATATATATATATTCTACCTAAAGCATATGAGAGACGCTCACTTGATACCTAATAACTTGGTCCGTCCACGACAATGACGACAAACAAAACAGAAGTAGGCCATTGCACTGCATGAAGACTATCACACCCGCTGAAAGCCGAAGAAACTAGAACTATGCAAGTACACAACTGCTGGCGACTGCCAGCAAGCAAAGTTGGGGATGGGCATTAGAATCTATGTAGTGGAAGTAATGTGGATATGACCGGTTGCTGATAACTAGACGTGGTGTACAGGCATGGATATAGCGATGACCAGAAAACTACATTGGCTGAGACTAATGTTCCTACTTAACATCGCCTAGATTACCAGTGTGCTAGATTACTAGCTCGCTAGTTTTCTTGCCGGTCCCAAGCCCGGGTAAAGAGGGAGGGTTGGGGCGTGGTGCTAGCAACTCCACCCCCGTAAAACAACCAAATCGCTACAGAAACTTCAACGAATAAATATATTAAAAATTCTAAAAATATAAACAATAGCCTAATTTTTCGCTGGAACTGGGGAAGTGAAATGACGCAGGCTAGTGAAAGCCTTCGGGAGGCCAATCAGCCGATGTGCCTTCTTTCGATGAAAGCAAAAGTAAGGATGGGTACCTGGAATGTTCGTACAATGTACGAAACTGGAAAGGCTGCCAGATAGCCGCTGAAATGAGAAGGTATAGAATAGAAGTGCTGGGAATCTACGAAAGTAGATGGAACGGAACTGGAAGGTGCTAACTACCAACCGGAGAGACAATAATCTATTCCGGCCACCCAGAGGACAACCACGAGCACACCGAGGGAGTGGCCATCATGATGTCACCAACAGCAGCCAAAGCTCTCATGCAGTGGGAACCAATCTCCTCCAGGATAATGACAGCCGGGTTCAACTCAAAAGGAAGGAAAGTTACAGTCATTCAATGCTATGCGCCTACAAACGTCTCAGAACAAGAGAAGAAGGAGGCGTTCTACAGACAACTACAAGCAATAATGGACAACGTCCCAAATGGCGATACATCAAAATCCTGATGGGTGATATGAATGCGAAGCTGGGAGGAGACAACACAGGAAGAGAACTCACCATGGGTCGAGAGGCCCTCGGTGAAATGAACGACAATGGTGAACTCTTCTCAGACTTCTGCGCCTTCAATGATTTGGTGATTGGTGGCAGTGTGTTCAAACACAAGGATATACACAAGACGACATGGATTTCACCAGATGGAAACACCAAAAAGCAAATAGACTTCATCTCAATTTCAAGAAAGTGGAGACGGAGCCTACTGGACACAAGGTCAAGGAGAGGAGCAGATGTGGGTTCAGACCACTATCTAGTAGAAGGGACTTTCAAGGTGAAACTAAAAGCCTCGAGGATAGCTGGGGATAGGCCACAGTGCAAGTTCAGCACTCAAAAACTGAAGGACTCAACCACAAAGGACACTTTCACTGCAACTGTCAGAGCGAAGCAGGAAACACTACGCGACATCACTGAAGAATCATGCGTGGAAGACCATTGGATCTCTCTGAAGGTAATTTTCAACGAAACGTGTTCAACAGTTTTAGGAAGAAAGGACAAGACAAGGAATGGCTCTCAACGGACACTTGGAGGCTAATAGAGGAGAGGAGAACGGTGAAAGATAAAATGATTCAATGCAAAGACGGGTAAGAGAAAGAGACGCTGAGCTCAACGTACACAGCACTGGATAAAGAAGTGAAGAAGATTGCTACGAAGGACAAAAGACAATTCTACGACAACCTGGCCACTGAAGCTGAGAAGGCAGCAGGCAAATTTTCTATTGATTATTTATTTAAACGCATAAAAAACTTGGTACAATATGGCACCAAGAAGGATGCGCCACATAATAATAATAAAACAACATAGATCAAAAAGAAAAAAAGGAAGGAAGGAAAAGAAAAAAAATATATAAGTGGAGAACGGATAAAGAAGGACATTCATGCTTAACAAGTTCAGACAGTGTTCGTTAACTATCATCGGGAAGGGAAGAAAGAAGGAAATTGCAACATATGCCATTGATCACGATTCTCGGCCATATCCGATAACGTTTCGAGCCATCGATTTGAGCTATCTCTCGGACCCCAACCAGGGAGTCGTGACACACCAACCGATGCTAATCTAGCACAAAAATCCTTCATCCCACGACGCCACGTCATGGACTGACCATCTCTCCGCCTTTTCCATCCCGTCCCAGGGCTAGCGAACAGAGACCTGTATGGAAGCCTCTGGGGTGACATTTGCAGCACATGTCCAAGCCACCGGAGCGGGTGTTTCCAGATGATGACAGTTAACGAATGGTGATCTACACTGTGTTCAAACACACGCCGCCGAACCTCAGAATTACTCACGCGATGATCCCATCGAACGCAAGCAATCCTGAGGAGACAGCGGTGATCGAACACGCGGAGTCGCCGCACATCCTCAGCTCGGAGAGGCCAGGTTTCACAGGCGTAGAGCAGCGCAGCCTGCACCGAAGCATTGTATACCCGACCTTTGACAGCTAGGCTAACGTCGCGACGGCGCCAGAAGTGGCTCAAGTTGATGCATGCCACCCTAGCCTTCATTATACGGTTGGAAATCACATCCGCCACCCCTCCGCCAGCACTCACACAACTACCCAGGTACACAAACTTATAAACAACTTCAAGCGGTTCACCTGCAAGAGTGAGTGCAGGTACAGGCTCCTGCCAATCTTGTAACAGTACTTTGCACTTAGACGGCGCAAAGTACATATACTTACAGCAGGCAGAAGGGACCTGAGGACACTACATCAGATAACCAAGTCTCTATCCATGAAGAGATCAACACAAGTGAAACCTATAAAAGACAGCCAAGGGAACCCAATCACCAAGGAAGAAAGACAAATTAAACAATGGGCGGGTCACTTCAAAGGACTCTTGAATCGACCAATACCAGCAACAGCACGTACACAACTGCAAGTTGACACCAATCCTCCAACGAAAGCTGAAGTCTTGAATGCAATCAAGCTTCTGAAAGCTGGAAAAGCAGCTGGACCAGATGGAATACCCCCTGAAGCACTGAAAGCGGACCTAGAGACGACAGCAGGTATGCCGACTCCATTATTGCAAAAGGTATGGAAGGAGGGAAAGGTGGCTAGGTGGCTACTGACTGGAAGAAAGGTTACCTCGTGAAACTACCAAAGAAGGGCGACTTAGGCCCCACTCTGCAAGAACTGGCGAGGAATCATGCTCCTGTCGACGCCAAGTAAAATCCTGAGTCGCACCATCCTGGAGAGAATAAAGGACGCACTGGATACAGAACTCCGACCAGAACAAGCTGGATTCAGGAAAGGCAAATTCCAACTTTACGCATCATCATCACAGAACAAAGTATGGAATGGCAATCAAACCTCTACCTCAACTTTGTAGACTTTTAGAAGGCCTTCAACAGACAGCGTCGACAGTGAAGTAATTTGGAAACTACTTGAGTACTACGGCGTACTCCAAATATTCATCAACCTCACTCAACAGCAGCACGACAACGGCACATGTCAAGTGATCCACAACGGAAAACTCAGCGAGGTGTTTGGAATAAACACATGAATCAGACAAGGGTGCTGGCTTATTATCACCAATGATATTCCTAATTGTGGTGGACTGGATTATGTGTCAGACAGTGGGAAACGAGAAGACAGGGAGGGATATCCTGAACCGACGTGAGGAACCTAGAAGACCTGGATTTCGCGCGTGGATGATTTATCTTTGGTGTCACACAAAATCGAAGACTTACAAGCGAAAACCAACCAACTGGTCGAAGAACCAGCCGGCGAAGGCAGGACTCCAAGTGAACATAGACAAGACGGAGGTGGTGAAAATAACCAACCAACAACAACAGCAACATCCAGCGTCAATCACCATCAACGGGAGGGATTTGAAAGAGGTTGCTTCATTCACTTATCTAGGGAGCATTGTCTCAACTACAGGAAGTCGGAACGGACGAGGATGTCAAATCGAGCGAGAATCGGGAAGGCGAGAAACACATCAACCTGAAACCAATCTGGAAATCTTCGTCAATCAGCAATCGACAACAAAATTCAGTCGAATCTTCAATACAAACGTCAAGTCAGTTCTTCTATACGGATCAGAAACTTGGCGGGCGGGTCACAAAGAATATTTCCAACAGCCTGTTGCAGACCTTCATCAACAACTGTCTTCGCTCTATACTGAAGATCAGATGGCCGGAAAGAACCACCAAGAAGGAACTATGGGAACAAACAAAACAAGAACCAATCGTCCAACAAATATGCAGGAGAAAGTGGAGATGGATTGGACACTCACTGAGGAGACCGCCGGGTGACATCGCGCGCGCGTCAGTCCATCGCTCGAGTGGAACCAGGCCGAAAGGAAAGCGGCGAGTGGGACGTTCAAGGGTGACATGGAGGAGGTCGTGTGAAGAGGAGTTGAATCAGTATGGACTAACATGGATGCAGGTGAAAAGTACAGCAGAAGACAGAAGCAAGTGGAGACGTGCAGTTGAAGCTCTATGTTCCACTAGGAACCCAAGGGAGCAATAATAATAATAATAATAATAATGTTCCTACTTGAGGTCTTACAATGTCAGAAAAATCATAGGATAGCGATGAGAATAAAAATAACTATCGGCATAGTGCAAACCATTTACACTATGCTGAGGGGCGGTGGACAAAGTCGTGCCGCTGGGAACAGAGATGTATTGGCAGTAAGGTTTTTCCCTCAGATAACCAGCACGCCGCCTCTCCACTCTGGAGAAGGGACTTAGAAAAGCTCGACGGAGAAAATTGTACATACCGACTTATCCTATGGCGGTTCGTAGCCGGCTGTAAGTTCTTAATACGAACACAGTTCTGATAATACATTCAAACAGGCCCTGTGACTGGCTTCAGTCAGTTGTCACCTAAGCTTTGAGGTCACGCAGAACCAATTCTTCTTCTGTTTCAGGTGCCCCTCTCAAAAAAACCAACTTCCACAGTGTGGGCAGCCAGGCAGCAACAATCACCCAAACACTTCCAAAAGAACATGAAGCTCTTCTGATCACCACCCATCTTTATCTACTTAACCACCATCTTACTTTCTTCCTACTACTGATACTATTTCAAAGACAGGTCCCAATAAAAGCAACAAGAGCCAGAAAAGCACGCCCGATATTCTCTTGGAGCCAAGCAGCCAAGTCCGTATTGGGGCATTTAACGTCGGGCTCCTTTACCAAACCTGACAACAACCATCACTAGCTAGAACTCTGGCACCTAAGGTCGTGGTGTGTTGTGTTACGGAGACAAAAGACCCGCTTGCGGTTACTCACCGAAACCCAATAGACCAACAGGGCAGATCTGCGAAATTCACCTTACGAGTGTCACAAGATTCTTTGGTTAGTTCGTGAGGACTCGTAGGTGTAGGGGTAGCGTTAAGTGATAAGGCAGAAAAATCCCTACTAGACTGGATCCCGGTGGATAATCGTATGGGCGCTGTTCATCTGAACGTAAACATTGGAAGGGAAGATACCCGTCGATGTTCTTTCGAATCTGCCTACGCCCCAACCAACCGTAGTTCGGGAGGAATAGAACGTGAGTTCCATCAAAAGTGGGTTGGTGGCACCTATGGAGTCTCCTACCACAGAGCCAACAACGGTGGTTGCCTCCTACAGTTCTGTCCGGATAGTTATCTGCTCCTGTTCAGCACTAAATTCAAACACAAAGGGAGACATTGTCTAGCCTGGCGACCTCTATCTTCAAATCAGCGATAGGCTCATATAGACCGAATAAAGATAAGCTTTCGTTGGTGGAAGTCGGTAGAAGACTGCTACTTTGGAACACGTGAGTAGACACTGACCACACCCTGACCGGTGCATGATTAGTCTTACGAATGGACGGACATAAAAGACTGATGGCAGTGAAGATGTTACACCCCCAACTTGATCAGGACACAGTCCCTATTTACGGAAATAGGTAAACGCGTACCTCAGATCTAATGCAAGACCCATCCTGAGGAAGCCTGGCATAATATCCAGCCAGTTATAGATACAACGGTAAAGGCCGTTGGTAACCTAGACCCAAAGGTTAGAATATGCCAATGGATTTCTGCTGTTTCATCCGAACTGAGACGCCGGAAGACTGATCTCAGTAGGCTCAGAATATGATGAGGAGAGAAAACTACTTAGGCGCAAACTGACAAGAAGTTTTCGGAGCGACCGTTGACAGCGATGGACGACAAAAGCGAGAGAGATGGAAAAGGCATCGGAGATAGGTAACACCAGACACTGACCAGGTAAACATGTGGTGAGACAATCTCTGAGAAAAGTGACGCTATAATTAGCTCCCGGGATAGACGACTGGGACGTTGAAAGGGACATTTCGATGAACAATTCAACTGGCCTACAGCTACGCTCAACCTACCCAACATCCAATATCTACTTGAACAGGATGTAGACATCGGTCCTCCGTCTGCAATTTAGGTTACAAAGGCTGTCCCTAATCTGGGGCGAAGCAAAGCAGCAGAACTTGATGGAGTAACTCAGGTGTTTAAAGACGATGGTGGCAAACTGCTGTCTGGGTTAACTAAGGTATTAGGCAATGTCTGGGAATCAGAGATAATCCCGTTAGACTGGTATGTCATTGACTGCTCCAGTATATAAGAAGAGGGACAAGTCTTCCAGGGATAATTATAAGGGGATTAGCTTGATTAAGTGGCGCTTGGGAGAAACAGATGCGAGAAAACCAGACAGATTTTAGACCAGGGAGGGATACTGACCATGCATTCACTCTTCAACAGGTTTGGGACCATAGGCGTATCGGCATCCAACAACTGTCATATTTCTTGACCTGAAGGAAGATTCAAACTTTTTCAACCGAGAGGTACTATGGCCAGGTCTGACCGTGAAGGTAATGCCGTCAGAGTACATCGCGCTGATCAAGGCACTCCAATCGAGCTCACGCAGACGTGTAACAGTTTATGAAGTTACCACCTGAAGTGATGGCAACCAGTGGTGTCCATCGGGAAGCCCACTGTTCCAGTTTCTCCTTAATTTCATCATAGATGACGCCAACTTCAGTGACTTAGGGACTGACCCGTTTCCAAGACACAGTCTTGTTGACTTGGACTGAGGATGATATAGTCCTTCTGGGTGTAGACTGATAAAGTGCAGCCTTCTGAACACCTTAAGCAGCAATCTTCGAATATTTGGCATACGATTTATTCACGTGAAATGTAAGATGTTGAAAGAGTGGAACAAAGACTCCAGGCCCAAAGACATGGAGTGAAGTGGTGGAGGATGTCGACCACTCCACTTAATTAGGAAGCTGTACCAGTCCCAAGGGACTGATTGCTGATATAGCCTCCGCAAGGATACAAAAGGCACTTGCCGAATTACGTCATCTGTGGCATAGACGTAACATTGGGCTATTGACTAAAGCATGTGTGTACTGTTCGGCAATTCGCTCCGCTGAGAGAAATGACCATTTTAAATGGAGGATATGAAAAGATGGTCTGTCTTTGACCAGGGTGTCTCCGTCATATCTCTCCTGTTAGGTGGTATAATAAGGTGAGCAATATTGAGTTTAGGCGTCAAGTCTTGGGTAAGGAGAAGTCAGTTGATGAGGTTGTGAAGCTACATCGACTCAGATGGCCAGGAGATGTGTTACGCATGCGTTCCTCGATGGGCAATGTTAGCTGACATAGGATGGATCAGGTTGGAAAAGAGCTAGTGGTGATCAAGCCAAAACTTGAGATCAGTCCACGGAATCCTTGACAGCTGGGTCGAGCCACATGGTGAGGTGTAGACTGCCTCGTTGAGGTCATTGAGATCCTGAGAACCAGTGGCTGGGGACAACCGGTGATATGGCTCAAAATCGTTCTCGCCGGCGCATATGCATTCACTCTTTATGACCTGCCATATCCGACTAACCCTATTGTTTTCCCATGTTATTATTCTTTCTTCCTCACATTCCTGCTTATCGTCGTTTTTCCGAATCGCTTTTTTGCTCCTTTGTGTGTTACATGTAATGTAGCGACTTGAACTACTGCACTTTTTAGTTAAGTTCTATGTTGAAATTTGTCAGTCAGATTGCTAGCTGGTCCATCCAAATTTTCACTCACAAGTCGTCCTATTGCTATGGCTATCAGGCTGAGTATGAGGATGAAGTGAACTGGTGTTTATGCGAAACAGAAAAAAGAGCACGATTTACTAATTTTTGGAAATAACTGAATAATTGGCTATGCTATGTTAAGTGAAAATGACCACTCACCCAAAATTTTCGGTAGCCGTGTCCACGAATTTCTGTAATCGTTCATTACGGTTCTCGGGCATCGGACGCCACATCAGGATTCCACGATGTAGTGGATCTGTATGATTTGAAGGTGACTCGTCTCTGAACGAAGGGAGGTTGGCCTGAAAATCATCACCAACTCTAATGACTGCATCTATGGATAAAGGTGTGGAACAATTGCAGGGATTTATTGTTTCAATTCACTACGCAAAAAAATTTATTTCTTCACAACATCGCAGGCTATTAAGTATCTGCAACAACCATATTAACTACAAATTAGAAATAGACTTGAAAACGAAATGCGTGTGACGGTATTTTTTTCAATGATTTTAACCACAAATATATGCTAACGGGGAAACATGATGGAGAGTGAGGTTAAATCAATCCAATTCATACTACTATTCTAGTAACATAAGAGAATTTCATTTGATAACAGTGATAATACACCAACACCTAACCAATTCAGGAGTATTCAAGGATGGATAGTCGATTTCTCCTCGAAATTGATGTGCTGAACCAGTGGGGAGATTTAGTTATGTCTGTGACACCAGCACTAAAAACCAAAAGTTTTCTTAACGCCCGAACAGAGTTGGACGTCGTCCAGGCGCCTACTCTTAAAAATACTTCAAGTCCAATATTTCGGAAATACTGAGGTATATGATCTGATTGACGTAAAGATTTGCGATTTTTCAAGAAAAGGAACCAAAATTCACCAGGAAACTATGAGGCCACGAGTACAATAATTCCCTAAAGATTTCTTCTAGTTGTAGAAAAATTTCAATCTGCACAGAATAAATTCCTGAAAGTTTTAAAATCAAAATACACAAAAATTCCGAGTACTGGAACTGAGCAAAGCTGCGAGAGTTTGGCGAGGTTATTTGCCACAACGGTTGATTTTTAAGCAATAACAATAATCAACAAAATTAACCACACTTGGTTGACTTACTTTCGAAGGGATCTTGGTCCGAATCGGACGACGAGCAGAATAGTCGACCACGAGTCAGCACACTATTCATCCCGCCAACACAGCTCCTGGAGCCAAAACACCGCGTAGTTTTGAAGGTCACCAAGGCACTTATCAACTGGTGAATTTATAGAATATCTTACAAACGGATGTTTAAAACAAGAATCAACGTCCAATATCCAATGCCAATTATTTCTGCTCGCTTCTTGGTGTAAGATAAAAGTTCAATATCTTTGGTCAGTGTTATAGACAATACAGACAATTGTGTATCAACTACTTCAGATTCAGATTTATTGGTTGAGGATAGAAGGTTTGAAGCTTATGTTTACAGTTTACAGTTTACAATTTATTTAGGATAGTAGGCTATATGCCTGTGTTAATCCTTTCGATTTATTTCATACAGGAGGTCCAATCTCGCCTTGAATGAATCAACGGATGGCGCTGATACGACATGTTCCGGTAGGGAGTTCCAATGGTTCACAATTCGATGCGAAAAACGGATTTCCAGACGCAGACGATTCGACCGTGGTTTTTGAACCTTGAGGTGATGTCCTCGCAATTGGTTGGTGCTAGAAGGAAGAAATAATTTAGATAAATTAGCTCCAAAATCATTTCTTAGGATACGGTATGCTAGTATTAGGTCACCCCTAAGTCGTCTGTATGACAGTGGAAATAAACCCAGTCGACTTAACCTCTCCTCATATGACAGGGTTGAGAAACCCTTTATTAGCTTAGTTCCTACTCTTTGCACCCTTTCTAATAAGTCAATTTCGTATTTGAAACACGGGCTCGCTGCCTGGATCCCATATTCCAAATGAGGTCTGATATAAGTCGGATATAATATACGAAATATATCAGCGTCAAAGTTCGCAAAAGCCTTGCGTATGGCCCATAACATTCGAAAACCCTTAGTGGCTGCAGTTCTACAGTTTGTTGCTGTTTTCAAGTCATGCTGCACAACCACTCCCAAGTCCTTGTACTCAGTGACCACTGGGAGAGTAATGCCATTCATTGAGTAATTGTGCACGTGACTATGGGATACATGCATAACTACACTCTTGCTTAAGTTAATCTCCAAGGCCCAGTGCTTACACCAATCACTTAACAAGTTTAAATCTTCCTGCAAAGCAAGTTGATCACTGTCATCGTGCAAAGCCCTCCATATCTTGATGTCATCAGCAAACAGTAAGCAGGATGACTTAACTACCGATGGAATCTCATTAACATAAATCAGGAAAAGAAGTGGGCCTAGAATTGTACCCTGAGGAACGCCACTCTTAACCGATTCCCATGTTGATAAAACCCCGTTAACTCGTACTCTTTGTCTTCTGTCCTTTAGAAAGTCTTGAATCCAGTCGGTAACCACTTTATTGATTCCCAGACTACCTAACTTTACTAGAAGACCTGAATGAGAAACCCTGTCAAACGCCTTGCTAAGGTCTATGAATATGGCATCCACCGGTATATTAGCATCAGCTGAGCTTGCCCAACTTTCTCTGGCCAAAAGAAGGTTGGTCAAGCAAGAATGACCTGCTCTAAAACCGTGCTGTTCCACAGCGAAAAGTTTGTTCCCTTCAATGAACTGAATGATAGCATCACGAATTATTCTTTCTAGTAGTTTAACAACAATACTGGTCAAACTAACAGGACGATAGTTCTGAACTAAGTTTCTAGATCCGGTTTTGAAGACCGGACTAATGATGGCATCTTTCCAGTCTCTTGGACATTTAGACTGGTCCAGAGACATATTGAAGATTACCGACAATGGCTCGGCTATGCTTTCAGCCAATGCTGTTAATATACGTGGGTGGAGTTCATCAGGGCCACTGGACTTACCAGGATTGAGCCTTAGAAGCCACTTTAGGACAGTATCCTTTCCAATGTATAAGGGTGCCATTTTCAAGTTACCTTCTGGAAAATTTACAAAGCTGGTATCAATATTATCAGAGAATACTTGACTAAAGTGCTTGGACAAAGCCTCAGCCTTGGTCAAGTTATCCTCAGCCATGTTTGTCTGGTCATCTTCAAGCATAAGAGGTGGGATAGCATCACTCTTACGTGTTCTTCTCTTGATATATGAGAAGAGTCTTTTTGGGCAGCCTGGTGAACTTTTAACTAACTGGGTTTCGTAAGCTATCCTTGACTGGTGGATCAAAGTTTTACACTGGTTTCTGGTTTCACAGTATTTCAGCCGGAACTGCTGTAGCCCAGTAGAAACAAAGAGATTCCAGAACCTTTTTCTCCGTCTCAGGAGTGTTATAGCTTGTCTATTTATCCATGGTGGCCGATTTGTTGGCCTTTTAGGAACCCTCCAGGGGATGAGATCAGTGGTAACCCTCTCAAGTGTATTCTTAAATCTATCCCATTCATCTTCAATGGATGAGACAATGTTGACTGACCAGTCGGCAGTTGAAGCACGCTCCTTTATAGCCACTATGTCAGCATGCCAAACACTAGGCCGGGATTTGGGTTGAAAACTGACTAAATTGCCAGCCCTTAAGTTAAAATCTAACACCCCATGATCACTGTTTGCTAGAGGTGGATGAATAACTAGACCATCCACGTCGTCGTTGTCATGAGTAAGCACTAAGTCCAGCAAGGAAGATCCTTGGGTAGAACCGAATCTTGTACTACCTAAGACATGTTGTGTCAGGGCATTTTCCATGGTTGTCAAGAGTAACCGGCTGTCAAACTTATCAGCGGATCCTGGAGATGTGACAGCTACCCAGTCTATATGAGGTGCATTAAAATCACCTAGAATAAGACAGCTACTGTGTTTACTCCATTGTTTGAGGTGATCTAAAATGAAGTCATCACACTGACAATAGGGACTTCTATACAGAACTCCAATGAGTAGAGTGCCGGTTGCAAAGCTTACTTCACAGCTAATTACCTCACCTGTCCCACTGTCATGAGCTTCAGATTTCACGGAACGAACATGTAGGGAGTTGTTGATGTACAGAGCAACCCCGCCACCTCTACGACCCTTAACTCTGTCGCTGCGCAAGCAACTAAATCCGCATAGCTCAGGTGTGTCATCTAATCCCGAAACCAGCCATGTTTCAGTAATGGCCACAATACCTGGGCTAAGGTCTTCTACTAATACACCTAGCTCGTGAAATTTGTTCCCGATACTACGTATATTAGTGTACACTACCTTCAGGCTTCCTATGCGGTCTGGCCTATCCACACAGGTCTTGGAAGCATACGTTTCCAAGACCTGTTAATCCTTTTCCAGGAGATTCTGTGGTTGTCCAAACTCTTCTTGAGCGAATCAGTTGGGGTTGCAGATATCACTTCTTCCGGGAGTCGGTTCCAAGAGTTTATGACTCGATGTGAGAACCAGTACTCAACAGCAATGTGATTTCTCCTTGGCTTTTGAACTCTCCTGCTATGTCCTCTGAGGTGTTCCAACCAGGTGGGAAGGAGAAGAGAGAATAGGTCAGGTCCGTAGTCATTATTTAAAATTTTAAACATTGTGATTAAATCTCCTCTCTGCCTACGGTATGACAGTGAGAAGAGATTTAAACTGTCTAGTCTGCCCTCGTATGATAAGTTAGCTATGCCGTGAACCATACGTGTTGCCTTCCTTTAAACACTTTCTAGAATGCGTGAATCCCCTTTTAGACAAGGACTGGCGGCCTGGATGCAGTTTTCCAGTCTTGACCTAACCAGAGGTGTATATAAGGAGGTGAACATATCTCTGGTAATTCTTGTGAAGGATCTGCGAATCGCCCATAACGACCTGAACCTACGTGCAGCCACCGCGCGACAGTGTGCTGTAGTTTTTAAGTCGTGGCTAACTATGACACCTAAGTCCAAGTGAGTCTGAACTGATGGAAGTGTTATTCCCTCTAATTCATAGGAGCTTGTGCTTGATTGTCCGATGCGCATGGCCGCACCTTCTGCTACACTGATCGGGAGCATCCATTCAACGGACCACTCTGACAATTCGTTGAGGTCCTCTTGCAACGTGAACGTATCATTTTTGTCCTCTTTAATTTTTTAAGTCATCTGCGCATAGGACCATAGGGGAATCGGTGAGCAGAGATAAATCACTGATGTGCAAAATAAATAGGAGAGGACCGAGTACCGTGCCTTGTGGCACTCTGCTACTTACTGCTATCCAGGAGGAGAGTTTTGAGTTGGGTGAGGATATACGTGGGTTCGTGTTATATTTTCCGCGACTCAGTTTTTTCGTCTTTCATTAGCTAGAACAGTGGCGGTCAATTGGAGTTTGAATTGTCCTTGGGTGCGTGCTGTCGGGTGCTGTCTTTGCGTGGTTTTGTTTGCGTCGTTTGCCAGCAGATGTGATTACTATAAACGTGTATTAGACTATTGTAACGCTTTGTTTTTCTTTGTTTGTGCATGTACTAGGCTTTATTTGTCGTACAATTCGTTGTTTGGTCTATTGGTTGCTTGCGATGTCAACGAACCGGTGGGTTCTTGTGTTTTTCTGTAATTTAGGTTATACGTGCGGTATTTTCTTGATGGTTATGGATCATCCCTGTATTTCGATGTTGTTTGTTTACGATTTATCTTGGAATAGTTGTGACATAGATGGATCCTAATTGATAATTTTATTTTAGTCCGTTGCAGGTAGTCAATTCGAGTGACAGGAGCACAGATTTAAGTGGAATTTTTGGTGAATACATACTTGGAAGGCGTTTCTTCAGCTGGGATGAATTTGAGAAGTCATTAGCAGAATTTCAAAAAGTGAGGAAGTCATTTAATGCTAACAGTGTAGTTATCCTGCACTCACTATGTTCATAATTGCAGCAAAACGATACCGGATGAGAGGTTTAAGTACGCTTATGTTGGTTTTAAATGCACTTTTGGAGTGAATCGTACAAGACCTGGATTGAAATTGAAAAACAAGTCGTAAGAAGAAGTGTAATATGATTTCGTGAATATTTCAGGTCTAAATGTTGCAATTGCTCGTCTTCATTTCGCGTGGTTTTGCGTTATAGTGAATACATAATTGCTTCCCACAATATGGTGCATAACCATCCATGCAGCAGGGTGTACATGCAGAATGACCCATGGTATAGACGACTAACAGTTGAAGAGAAAGAAAATATTGAACCACTTCTTCAGCAATCCCACTCATCCGATGAAATAATAAT